AACAACCCTTCCAGTGCCAGGCTGGATTTACTGGCCAGAGCTGCCCCAGGCCAGAGACTCTCCAGCCTGGCGCTGCCACCGGGAGAGCTGCTCCTGCACCAAGCAGGGCGCAGCTCCGGCCTCTCCGACGCCAGAGGAGACTCTGAAATGATATGTTTGTTCTGCTGCTACTGCTGCATTTTTTTAAAAAAAGAATTGCTACACTAGGATGAATGGATTATGAGTAAATAAAAAGAAGCTGTCAGTCTCTTTGAAGGTTGTGTTTAAAGGGACTTGCCAAGTCAGGACAGAAGAGTGACAAGATAGAGACCCTGGTGTTTTACATGCTCAGCCCAGCTCTTCCGCTTCATCTGCACCGCACTAAAGGGTGTCGTTGAAGCATTGAATCACAAAAAAAGTGGCACGCAAAATAAAAGGTGCCACATCACAATGATGGCAGTGTTTGAAGGGCAGAGTGCCACATCCCCTAATCCAATTGAAACGCAGGTCTACGCAGCCGAAGTAAACGGTACAGAACTTACATAACTTATAATTAAGTTGAAGTCTGCCTACCATTTGACTTTCTAATGAGTGTAATGAGATTACATGCCTGATAGAAGCACTTGTGCAAAAGCAACTTTCGTGTTTAATGAGGCCCTAATACAGGACAAAATTGAATTATTTTCTCTCGTTCCCAAATTCTTCCTTCAGTGTGAAATCTCCATCTTTTAGGGGGAGGGACGGGTGGGGCCGGAAGAGGTGAGAGGGTCCATGGTCAAGGGCCTCCTGGGAGCCTGGCGACCCAGAATCTCCGCGCGTCTGGCCAGGCCACGCTGCGGGTCGGGCTCGCGGCCTCGCTTTAATTGCTCTTGGATGACGTCCATGGCACCCGCGGCGCGCGGGGAACCCCTCGGTGGGTCCGAAACTAGGTTAAAGCAATTAGCATGCTGCCGACATATTGTCCCTCGGCAGGGCCTTGGGTACCAAGGGAGATGCGCCCTCGTACCTTGGCCGACCAGGCAGCTGCGGGCCGGGGATTGGCATCTCGCTTCCCCAGGGCCTGCGGGGCGCCGGCGCTCTGGATCAGCCAGGAAGAGCGCGCCGGACGCGCGAGACCTTGCTCTGCGCCTCCCGCTCTGCACCCGCGCGGTCCGAGCGCGCGCTGGGTCCCGCACTCTGAGCCGCGCACCCCGACTCCCGTTTGCAGCCGAGCCCTTCCTGGGGGCCAGGGAGGTGCCCATTGCGGCCTCGGAGATTAGTCCGAACCCTAGCTTCCCGGGCGCTCCCCGCTGCGCCCTCGCACCTCTCCCCTTCGCTAGGGGGCGGCCCTCCGCTCTCCGCCGGAGCCTCACCTTCGCCCCAGGCTGCTTGTCTCAAAGGACTGGATTCTGCTGGAGGCAAAACCGAGTCAATTTCAGAAATTACCCAGTTGCAGAAGCGGCAAAGAGGGCGTGCTCCTTTCTTGTCTTATCCCAAAGACCCTTGGTTTTGTTCGGAAACATCCGAGAGGGGTCTCCGGCCTCAACCTCATGGCTTTTCTCATTTCCTTTGAGTATATCTGAGTTCCTTGTACCTGATGCTATAACTGCAGAAGGGATGGGTCACAGGGCAGCTTAACAGCAACCCCTTCTCCCCAGCCCTTGGAAGCAAAAAGGCGTCTTCCCTTTGCTAGACCAGAAATTAGCCCACTGTCGCCACCGGACCCACAGTGTCCACTTTATACATGATGATTACGCAGGGTGCCCATGACCTTGGATAAGTCAAATGTCTCTCAGCCTTAGCTTTCCCATCTGAAAGAATGAGAGCAACAAATACTCCATGACCGATTTTCTTCCTAGGGATGTTAGGGCTGGGATGCCGATGAAGGACTCTCCCAGAGAAATGGGGCCTAATCCTCTAGCCCACTCCCTCTCAGCTAAATCTAAAAGGTGGCTCTTACTGTATAGCTCCGTTCGGGGTCTCTGGTTCAGTTTTTTTTTTCTTTTTACAAAGTAGGTTAATTCATCTTTAAAGATACAGCTAAACCCATCAAGTATAAAACAACTTGTAGAAAACGGTATGAATAGCATTTATTAACATTGCTTAGAAATAAACCGTATCTGGCAATAAATTAGCATGACGTTTTCTGGTCAGAGTTCTTCCAATAATGCAGAGTTCTGCCAAAGGTGCTGGGGGAGATCATGGACTATTGCATATTTTAAGAAAATCAGGATAAATTATATAAATTATATATTTAAAAAGAGATCATCTATTTCATTAACTCGACAGAATAATAAATAGATAAATAACAAACAGTTGATTGCCATTAGAAAAATGTGATTCTTAAGTTACATTTACATTATAGATATTTACATGTACAATATGCACATAGAATCATGTCCTCAGGCAGGTCTGGGACTTCTCAGGACACAAACTCAAAGGGCGGTTCGTTTTCTATGTTGTTGAAGGAAGGCTTGCTGTTGAGTTTTCTGGGGTCCTCTGGGGTCCACACTTTGGCTGTTCGGATAATATTTTGTTCTTT